CGGAGTGCAGCTCTGCGCCCTGGCCGGCCGTGGTGTCTGGGCTGGGCGGGCGCCAGGCGCCCTGGCGCGCACACTGTAGGCGTTGTGGTGGCCTCAGGAAACCTGTCCACTCCAGCCTGGGACTGCTCTTAAGTCTGCGGGAGAGTTCGCCGGCTTGGCAGCTGGGAGAGCGCGCGGGGTAAGCAACGGGGAGGCCCCGAATGAGCGCCCCTGGCCACTGCCGGGACCCGGCAGCCAACTCCGAGCTGGAGGTCCCCAAAGAACCTCCCTGTGGAGTGTGGTGCTCTCCAGTCACCTCTCTTTCTCGGTACCCCGGTTCTGAAGCCTGTCTATTGCCCTCTCTTCCTGTCCCCCGCTCCCACATTCTCCTTTCTCTTTTTCTCACTTCCTCTAAGTCTCCTGCTCGCTTGTGCTCCTTCCTATCCAGTCCATCTGCTCAGTGTCCTTCTTGCAGTTTGCCTCTGGTTCTTTCTCTTTTACCCTTTCTGTTATTTTTCCCCCTCTTCCTGCCCGATTTTTATCACCTTTCTCCTCCCTCTGTCTCTGCTCGCTTGGGGCTACTGGTTGTCCCTCTGTTCTGTTTCTGGAGTCCAGAGAAAGCTCATGGTACCAAGCTTGCCTACTCACTACTGGCCGAACCAGAGGCATCCCGGAGCTTTGACAGTGCAAGGGGCAGCCTGGGTCCAGAAAGGTGGCTCCCTCCGCTGACCTGGATTCTGTAGAGCCTCTCGGTTCTACAGAAGCCTGAACTGCAGCACTGCTATTGCTTGCTCTCCCTCTCGGGCCAGGCATACTGGGCAGATGCTGCAAAAGCTGGTGTATGAACGGTGTGTCTAGTTGCTTTGGAAGCCAGGCATTTTCTTCCATCTAGCTGCACTGTCGGGTTGAGGGAGGTGATGGAGTGCCTCCCTCAGACGTCTGCCCGAGGTGTCTTTGTTTGAGTCAGGTCTCTCACATGGCCAATCTCCCTCATATAAATCTGGGTTGGGGTGTGGGAATGGATAAGGTGAGTCTAATTGAAGGGAACCTCTGGGCTGGTCACTGGGTGGGCAAAGACTTGATGTGGTGCTTTCTGCTTCCCCGTGCAGAGGTGACCTCAGGGGAACTGGACTGTCTGCCTGGACCTGCTCCCATCCCCCCTGCCCCCATGGCCCACTGCACAGACTTGATGCCCTGAACAGGGCCGGGCTTGGTAAATGTCTCCTGGAATACACAGCCAGTTGAGTTTTCTGTCCAGTGGCCAGCACGTGGACTCTTCCCATGGGTCTAGTCAGCATGGAGATGAAAGCTCATGCTGGAGGAAAGCTCAGCTCTGCACTCTTTCCCTCCCCTGAGTTAACAGGGTTCTTTCTTGATGGTGGAATTCTGGCAGGATCTGCTGAAGTTTATTTTATTTTACAGTGTGATCAGATTTTTATTTTCCATCCAAAAAGAACTTTGGCCCAAGGAAGGTGGAGGGTTCAATCTCTTGTAACAATCATGTGATTTCCTCCCTTCCCAAGATTGTGATGTTTAAGAGGATCCCAAGTACTGTGGTAACATTGAAAATAATCACTTGCTGGTGGAGCTTGTAGGTGTGAAAAGGGGTGATAGTAGAAAAAAAGATTTTTAGAGCAAAAATAGAATTCCACAGCCTTGACTGTGGCAGAGATGTCAAAATGAGCCTCTGTCCGCTCTGGGAGGCGCGACCCTGCCTGGAGTTCCAAAGGACACATGCTTTTTTCAGTTCTTTTCAGCACGTATGTAACGTGGTCTATATGCGTACATTATTAATGTGACTGTTAACATATTTTGGTGGCCATTGTCGTCTGGCAGAATCCTTCAGAAACTCTCCCTAAGATAAACCAAAGCGGAGGGTTTAGCTTCTGGGATTGTCCCAAATTGCAGCAACATTATGTGAAATGAAATGAGATTTTCTTGAATCTAAAAAGGGTGGTGCCATACTGCCATCTAGTCTAATCAAAGAAGAACCATTTTTTAAAGAGTCACTGTGACAATGTTGGAACATTTGCAAAAACGTGATAACATCAGCTAGAGAAACACATAGCTACCTCAAGGGAATGTCTTTTTTTTCAATTTCATTAATTCCTACCCACTTCCAGAAAATTTCATCTTGAAAACTAGTGATAGCTTGAGGCTTCCAGAATTCCCTAGGATTTGACAAATCCCTGCTTGCCAGACCAGTTCTGGGAGACCTTATAATCTATAAGGGCAAAGCAATGGATCAGTGGGTGAGAGTGTGTGTGTGGTTGTGTGTACGTGCATGTCAGTGTGTATGTGGGAGCGGGATGTGACAATTTAGAGGCAGAGGCAGCTGTGTTGGCAATGGTGCGTGAGGGTGAGATGCTGGTCACAGGAGATGAGAGTCAGGCTTGAGAGCTGCCCTGGAACGCGTCCTCTCCAGGCCTTTGGTGGTCTCTGTGCTCCGCTGAACTGAGAGGAACGGCAGCAGCACCCTCAGTCTGGCCTGGGAATTCTGACACTGGGCCGCAGCTACAGGCAAGCCATGTGCCAGCTGCGTGACCTTGGGCTGCAGCATCTCCAAGCCTTGTATGGGTGGAGAGTGTGTTCCAGTTTTTGATGTGCTTTCACCACCCACATCTCTGGCATTTCTCAGTAAATTGGCATGTCTTTGGGATGAGGGCAGAGAGGAAGAAAGTGTCCCCATTTATCAGATGAAAGTGAAGCCCAAAGGGGCTGAAGGACTTTCTCAAGGACATTGAACTCTTCAGTGACATAGCGAATCTGACTCCAGTTTTGACTCCATCGCTTGCTGCTCTGTTGAGGCGTTTTGATGAAAAGGCTTTGCGAAAACAATGAGATAGTTCATGTTAGTAGCTGCTATCCAGTGAATACTCAGTAAATGTTAACTGATGTTGCTATCACCTAAGTCAGCACCATTTTCAGTAACTTTGCATGTAAAATTGGTCAAGTGATGGCATCAGGATTGTCAGACCCAGTGAGAGAACACATTTCTATATCCTGGAGGCTCTGTGTTCACAAAGGTGGGACTGCTGTCTAGGTGACAGACTGGGTCCTCATCCCGTGTTGGGAGAGCTGTGGAGCTGAACAGGATGGGAGAAGGCTGGGTGTCTGGTGAATAAACATCAGCAGCACTCAGCAGATACAGAAACCACCTTAGAACTCAGCCCATCCATCCATATTGCTGGGGTCGTAAGAAGCCATGGCGGCTGCAAGCCCAGACCTTGACTTCTGCCCCCAGCGCTACATCTGAGATGCTTTTCTGCCTTGGTGGATGGGAAAGTGCTTGGGTGATTTCTAACTGCTAGATAGAAATGACTGTGGTCATGTTGCCTGGAGAGGACAAAGAGAGTGCTTGGCTGGCAAAATGTGTAAGTTGTTTGTTAAGTGTATTTCTTTAAGAGAAAACTAGAAGTCGCATATCATGGGTCTGTCTGCCAGTATGTTGCTTAGGGTCACAGAAGGGTCCTGCTCAGTCTCAGCCTCTAAGATGTTTAGGAAAATGTATCAAAGCACGGTTACTCACCAGTTGTTAAAACTCCCAAATTCTGGAGGCTTTTCTCAGGCCAGAGTCCCTGTTTGTAGTCAACTCTGGTGCACCACTTAGGTTGTGGGAGGAATTCAGAATGGGGCACAAAGAGATCGCACTGGCCTCATTGTTCTTGAGGAGGCTGGCTGGCACATGGGGCAGCCGGGGGTGGGAAAGGAGGTCAGATTGGATGCTTACAAATCTGGCCATCCTGTTTGTGTTTCATCCTAGACTTTCAACATCCATAACTGTTCTAAGCAACCAGATGATAGAGCAGTCATTTGTAACCTAATATCCAACTGGACATCACTGACAGGAAAGGACTAAAAGGTGTTTATATGGAGACAATCTTCTTCTTTTTTGGTCACTACTTATTTAACAAATCGTGGAAAAGGCTTTGTTTTCTTTCCACTTTTTAAAGGTGGGACTGTCTTAAAAGTGTGGTGTCTTAGTGCACTGTGCCTGCTCATGAATTGGGGTCATAGGTGGGCATAGGACACAGGGCAAGGCAGAGAGTGAAGGGAATGTCCCAGCTGGCAGTGATATTCACTTTTTTTTTTTTTGCCTTTATAGTGAAATCATATGGCATTTGCCTTCCTTCTTGCATATTTCACTTTTCTTAAAACCCTCAGTGTTCCAGGTCCTGCTTCCGTGGTTAGATGTATTGTTATAGTCCCACTTTCCAAGAACTATCTTTAGATGATGTTATGACACGACTGACTATAGGAAGGCTATTCAGAGTTAGTAAGTCTCCACAATAACTTTAGATAGCGCTGTTATAGGCAGTAAGAGTGTTAGTACTTTCTCTTATAGATCTCAGTCATCAACATAAGTAGTATGAAATGATAATAAAAGAATAGTCATCTCTTCCTTCCATCATTCATTACACAAAATTTTGTAACATTGAGCATTTTATTTGAAGGAAGACACAGCTCCTTGCTCTCACAGAGCTTACAGTAGAACAGAATAGTTTGGCATTTTATTGTTTTTGGTTTCTTTTAATTTGGCATTTTAGATATTTAATAAAGAAGACAGTTTAATTTGAAACTATGCAAATATCAATCATGTTTTTAATGCATCCTATTTTTGCCAGAATATATATATATTTTAAAATAGAGAAAGTCCATCTGTTTATGCAACACTTTAGGTCTAACCAGCAAACT